ACATGTGTACATATTTCCTCTTTGAAGCAAGCCACGTCATATTCATGCTTGACTGTCAAAAGACGACCATCTTCACACTCTCCTTCCTCGGTTGTTGTTCGTTTTTCAAATATCCACACATTTCCTTTTTGTTTCTTATATTCTTCTTGGATAGTTACCACCTCCTTCTGGCTGCCTATCAGACTTGTTCTAGCACGCAAATACCCGAGTACAAGTTCATAAAACTCCAACTGAGGTGTATTCCTCTCCTGTTCAATGAAGTGAGCAATATAACTATCATTTTCCTCAAGTTCATTATTTTGATAAAGAGCATTTATCTGAACATCAGTCATAGGTTGAACAGCAGAGTCATCAGTTAATGTTACTTTCAGTTTGACACCGGGCTTTATAACACTACCACTAATTTGAGCCTCTGTGCTTATCTCAGATTCTGTAGGAATATCCAAAGAACTTTTTGGATCGTGAAATATGGGGGCACTGGCTAAGGCGTCACTGTTTATGGAACACTGTCCTGTCACTACAACGCCACTATTGTCAACACTCGTCTCATTCACAACATCCTGCACATATTCACAGCCAATTTGATTATACGGAAGGACATTAATATTACACAATTCCCTATGCTGCTGGATTATAGTGTCATCAATGGCAAGATCTTTCAGCTGTTGTTGTAATTTAAAATATGGTTCCATCTCAAGTAGTTTCTGCTGTAGATTATAAAAGTCTGAAGATGAGGAACCTGTGATTTCTTTCACCTTTGCTTCTGTTTTCTCCTTAACTGAGCAATGGTCCTCACCAATATTAACGTCTGAATTTTCATTCTTGAATGTTTGTGAGGATTCACTGTCTTTTGCACTTTCAATTTTATAGTCACTGATCTCCTGTGAGGACAGATCTTTGTGCTCTGCCTCCTCCTCTGGTTGTGAATGTCCATTGTCATGTGAATGCCCATCGTCTAATGTCTCTAATGGTGGTAGAGGTATCTCCCCATACTCTGCCAGCAATTCCAACATAGAATGATTTTCAGTGCCATCCTCCTCTTGTACTCTTGTTTCAGGACACTTTTCAAACACCTCTTTCTGGAAAAATATAGATAAAATATTAAAAGAAATTATTTCCATAATTAGTTAAATTATTAAAACTATGAGAACAGTACATATTCATTCATGCATTAATGCTAGTATTGTTGACAAACATTGTAGTCAAAACATCAGAAAAAGTAATTAAAACCGAATGGGTAGAACACCCAGAGAGAAATGATATTATAACAGACAGACAGACAGACAGTATAGTTTTCAATCAGGAAGGTCTTGTGTAACAAATCTACTTAGTTTCAAAATATGATAAGACCAACAGAGATTTTACAGGAAAGAGATGGTTGGGTTGACTGCATTTATCTGGACTTAGAAAAAGACTTTTGACAGAGAGCCACTTAATTAAGAGGTTCTGGAAGCTGGAACATACACTGCAGTGACAGGGAGACTTCTAACATAGATGAAAAATGTTCTGACTGAAAAATGAGGGTAGTAATCATAAGCAATGTATCAGACTGGAGAAATGTCATGAGTGGAGTACCACAGGGTTCAGTTCTTGTACCTGTAAAGTTCAATATCTACATAAATGACCTACCAGAAGGAATACAGAATTATATGAACATGTTTCCTGATGATGCTAAGATACTAAGGAAGATAAGAAACTTGATGAATGTCATACCCTTCAAGAAGACCTGGATAAAATATGTGCATGGAGCACCACATACGAACACCACATAAAAGAAAAGATAAATGGAATTTAATGTGAATAAATGCCATGTTATGGAATGTGGATTAGGAGAAAACAGATCACATGTAACCTACAAATTATGTGTAAAAGCTTTAACAAATTCTGATAAAAGAGGTGGTTCTAGATAGAAAACTATCACCTGAGGACCACATAAAGAATATTGTGCAAGGAGCCTATGCTATGCTTTCCAATTTCAGAATTGCTTTTAACTACACGGATGGTGAAATACTCGAGAAATTTTTCATGACTTTTGTGAACAATGGTGCCTATATCTTAAGAAGAACATCAACTGGAAAAGGTGCCAAGACATGCAACTAAATGGCTCCCAGAACTAAAAGACAAGACCTATGAGGAAAGGTTAGAGGCATTAAATATGCCAAACTAAAAGATAAAAGAAAAAGAGGTGATATGATCACTACGAACAAAATAGTAATAGGAATCGACAAAATTTATAGGGTAGAATTTTATAATAGGGTAAGAAAATTCATTTTTGCAAACAGTGTAGTGGTAGAGAGATAGACAGGTTGAAACAAGTTAGGTGAGATGGTGGTGAAAGCCACAAACATCAGTAGTTTCAAAATGTTACTTGACAGAGTGCTGGGATGATGGGACACTCTGAGCATAGCTCTCATCCTGTAACTACACTTAGGTAATTACACTTACACATACAAAAAGAAACTACGAAAGAAAACATGCCAAAAACATAAAGAAAGATCCAAATTCATTCTGTGCCAGTATAAGACGTAAAACTAAAACAAAGGAATTGGTAGGACCCTAAACAATGATGAGACTAACCAAGTTATAATGGATGATAAAAGGGGAACAAATACTCTGAATGAATACTTTACATCTTGAGGTTATCTTGAGATGATTTCGGGGCTTTAGTGTCCCCGCGGCCCGGTCCTCGACCAGGCCTCCACCCCCAGGAAGCAGCCCGTGACAGCTGACTAACACCCAGGTACCTATTTTACTGCTAGGTAACAGGGGCATAGGGTGAAAGAAACTCTGCCCATTGTTTCGCCGGCTCCTGGGATCGAACCCGGGACCACAGGATCACAAGTCCAGTGTGCTATCTGCTCGGCCGATCTTCGATAACCTCCCATCCCCCATACAAATGTCTGAAGGATGTGAAGAGAACAAATTAAGGAATATACCCATAACATGCGACACAATCAGGAAGAGCATTGCCAAACAAAAAGACTCAAAATCCCCAGGTGCGGACGGAATTCAATCCAAAGTGATAAGGGAACTGGCAGATGCACTATACCTACAATTGAAACTCTTTCAGAAAATCTCTGGACAAAGGGATAGTTCCCCTAGATTAGAAATATACAAATGTCACCCCTATAGTAAAAAATAAAAACAGAAATAGTTAGGCAGAAAACTTCAGTTCAGTTTGACATCACACATCTGCAAGCTCATGGAGAGAATCCTGAGGGAGGGAATCATTTACCATCTCACAATAAACAATCTTGCAAAATCAATGCAAAAGAGGTTTGTTAAAAATAGATCCTACCTTACAAACTTGCTCACATTTTTGGAAATGGTAACCAGCTATTCAGACAAAGAACGTCTGCAAGATAGACTTTGCTAAAGCTTTTGATAAGATACCACATGATGAAAGACTAGCAAAGAAATTACAGGCACATGGAATAAATGGTAGAATACTAGAATAGATAAAACAATGAACACAAAGGGTTGGGCTAAACGGGAAGGAATCTGACTGGAGAAATGTGGCGAGTGGGGTACTGCAAGGATCCAATTTGGGGTCAACTATTTTTGTCATATACATCAATAACATAGATGAGAATATTACAAATCACATTATCAAATTTGCAGACACAAATAATTATGGTAAAGTAGGAAGTGGAAACGATATTGAGGCTTTACAAGCAATCAACATGAACTCCACAATTGGTCAGAAGACTGGTAAATACTTTTTAATATAAAAAAATACAAGACCTTGCATGTGATACATAACAATCCATGTCACAATTACCAATTTAACAACATTAACTTGCAGCAGATTGATGAAGAAAATGGCCTTGGAGTGAGAATCCATCATACACTGAAAGGTAAGGTAAGATAATTATCAGGGGAAAGCACCAAGCCATTACGACTATATAGCACTTGGAAGGGGGTCAGATAACGATTTGCGATGGGATGGGGGAAAAGGAATAGTGTCCAACCACTTCGACGGTCGGGGATTGAACGCCAACCTGCATGAAGCGAGACCGTCGCTCTACCGTCCAGCCCAAGTGGTTGGTGCAGCAGTAAAAAGAGCCAACCAAACCCTAGGAATAATCAAACATATCTTTGACTTTAAGGAAAAAAAGGTAGTTATTCACCCTTACCTGGATTATTGTATCCAAGCATGCAGACCTCATCTTCAGAAAGACATAGCTGCTTTGGAGAAAGTGCAACACCGGGCAACAAACATTATTAATAACCAAGTTGACTCTTGTGCCAGGGGCAGTTGAGGGCTACAGGGCTAATAACACTGCAAGCCAAGCATGACAGGTCGGATCTCATCGAAACCTTTGAATTACTAAAAAATCTGGAGGATGTTGATCTAGACAACTTCAAAAAGTCAGATGTAACACAAACAAGGAGCAACAGTTTTAAGCTCAACTAACCGCAATGTAGAACTGAGAACAGATGTTTTTTCACCGATTGGGGTTATAAACCCACGGAACCACCTACCCGCCGAAGCCGTAAATACCAAAAAACAGTTGAACTTTAAAACCCCGCTTGAAAAAATTATTAGGACAAATAGGGAACCTTTGACTACCCGCCGGCTTTCTGTCTTCGTCGAGAATACTAGTATGTTAGTGGCCCCACAGATAATTCTCCCCAGCGCCCTGTTATTAAGTTCAAATTATATAAATATAAATTGCCATAACCTTTCTAATGGCCTACTGAAGAAATGATGTACCAATGACGAACACACCGTAAAGTGAACCCAAAGGTATAATCTGGCAGAGTACAAAGGCGAATATCCACAGCTTTACACAGGTGCGTAATTGGTGCGATTCGTGTCCGAGATCAGCTGATGATTACCTTGTAGTTCTCAACTATCATCACTCGTTATATCTGAGTTAGCACGCTGTTATGATAACTGTAACATTATATGTCACTTCTTATTTACTCAAAGGTGACAAAAGAACTCCAGGTAACATTAACTCTTAAGAGTGAGTGTAGTATTACCCTAGATCGAGGTTTCCTCTTCCTAACAGCCTCTGCCATCCAGCTCGACTGACTCGAGTTCACTCGACTCCTATAAACAAATTCAGATATCGTATAATACCAAGCTGTCGTACAACCACAAAACTAAGTTGTCGTACACTGTACAATACAAACGGTTGTCCTACACCACAACAACGCAAAATTCTTCTACACCACAACAACGCAAAATTCTTCTACACCACAACAACGCAAAATTCTTCTACACCACAACAACGCAAATTTGTCCTACATCCCAACAAAACAAAATTGTCCTACACCACCACAACACAAATCTATTCTACACCACAAACACGCAAATTTATCTTACACCATAACAACACAAATTTGTCCTATATAACAACATAAAGTTGTCCTACACCACAACAACACAAAGTTGTCCTACACCACAACAACACAACGTTGTCCTACACCACAACAACACAAAGTTGTCCTACACCACCACAACACAACGTTGTCCTACACCACCACAACACAACGTTGTCCTACACCACCACAACACAAAGTTGTCCTACACCACCACAACACAACGTTGTCCTACACCACCACAACACAACGTTGTCCTACACCACCACAACACAACGTTGTCCTACACCACCACAACACAACGTTGTCCTACACCACCACAACACAAAGTTGTCCTACACCACCACAACACAACGTTGTCCTACACCACCACAACACAAAGTTGTCCTACACCACAACAACACAAAGTTGTCCTACACCACCACAACAATACAAAGTTGTCCTACACCACAACAACACAACGTTGTCCTACACCACAACAACACAACGTTGTCCTACACCACAACAACACAAAGTTGTCCTACACCACAACAACACAACGTTGTCCTACACCACCACAACACAACGTTGTCCTACACCACAACGTTATCATACAACTCCTCAAAACATAACAATATAATTGTAGGGGCAGGAGTTACACATACTAATGAAGCCACTATTACGCAAAGCGTTTCGGGTAAAATTATAAAATATAGGAAAATATTAACTAAGGGTGTGAGGGGCAAAACAATACATATAGAGAACTAAGCTAAAATAATGAGAACGTCCAAGGAAAATAACAAATTAATAAAAAAAATGGATGATGCCTAAAGATGACAAGCATAGACTATTACATTATGAAGTCTGTAGTTCTAGCAACAGTACGGTAGTTTAATTCCAACAACAAACCACAATGTAGGACAGAAAATAGGAGATGCTTTTTCACCCATAGGGTTGTAAACCCGTGGAACCGCCTACCCGCCGAAGCCGTGAACGCCAAAACTCTGCTGGGTTTTAAAATTCATCTGGAAAAGATCATCAGGGCAAATGGGGGTCCTTTGACAAGCTGCCACCTTCCTGTCCTCATCGAGGACAGGAAACATTGCGTAATAGTGGCTTTAGGCATTGTATGTACTAGCTCTATCTATATATCGATCCATTAGTATTAAGTTCTAGATATTAATGTTTTTCTTGCCCGAAACGCATTGCGTAATAGTGGCTTTAGGCATTGTATGTACTAGCTCTATCTATATATCAATCCATTAATGTAACATCACTTGTATGTATATACCTTACCTGAATAAACATCTGAATCTGAATCTGAATCATTAATGTAACATCACTTGTATGTATGTACCTTACCTGAATAAACATAAACATAACTCGGGTAAAATTCAGGTAAATTCCACTAAACATAATTGAAGTATTAAAGTGTAATATAAAAACGCAAGTGGACTCTTTCTCATAAACTTTTTTTGAAACATAACAGAACATAGAGTAGTAAGTATAATCTAACTTTAATGGGGCCAATAATAAAAATAATCAGGGAACATAAGGTTCAGTGCACGAATAAATCCTTCATCAAATAAATACAAGAAATTAGATGACATTAAATGTAGAAAGTTCATAATTCTATTAAATACAAATTTAGGAAAAGAGTAACACAAAAGTAACTTATTACGGGGAAAGAAGTGAGTGAAATTGGTTAATTAGTATTGATTATAAGATATTAATTACATGATAGTAACCATTTCTAAGTCTCTTTTAAACTGATTAGAAGACGTACAGCTTTTAATTTTTAATTCCATTTGGGAGGTCATTCCACAAATTGGGACCCTTGAATTGCATAGCATTTCTGCTTTGGCTGAGTCTTACTCTAAGAACAAGACTTGTCTTGTGATGCGTTTGGCCAGCTCATCCACCACCTCGTTGAACACTATTCCAACATGAGATAGAATTTACACAAATTTTACTTTGTGACCTTCTTAGTTTTATCTCAATTATCTTTTTCTTACAATCCTCGACTATGGACATGAAGACTGGATTTCGACTGTTTAAAGAATCAAGTGCTCCTCGACGGCTATCGACAAATACGAAGACATATTTTTCGTCTTGAGGTACTTCCTCCAAGTCAGCACAGCATAAGCCTGTAGTTCAGTTTATGTAGATGAAATATAATTACTAAGTCGAAGTTCAGTTTTCCTGTCCACAGTTCCAAACTCGATGTATTCCCTTATCTGGATACCATTCCCTGCCCTGCGCCGGCCTGCGGACTCCTAGTTCAACCTTGACGACGAGCAGACGTCTGACACCTGCTCCGCCTGGAGGTGCCGGATCACGTTCTGTTTCGCGATTTTGGATTTGATACTGCCGTTTGGCATTCGTATTCAACGGTCCGGATTATTACGACATCTGGCGCACATATCACCTTGGGTCGCAGGATAATTGATAGATTCTGGACGTTTTCTGGATGGTTCTCCCGGCGGGGTGACGGTGTCCGGCGCCGGCTTGGCCGAGAGATGTCCAGAGTTGGTGGCTCCTGGTATGCCCTCACCCATGGTGGGCGGCTGACTTCTGCTCTACCGTGGGACACTGGATGACTTTTGCGTTTTAGTTAGGGGCCGAGTTTTGGTTTTGCTACCCAGTGTTCTCCCTGTGGGGTGGGGCCGGTGCTTGTCACCCTGAGGAACTCTTGGGGCTCCCCAATCATCTGCCCATCTGTGCGTTTATTGGCCGCGAGGCACATTAGTTTCCGCTGATAAGCGACATTCATTTTTGCTTCTCACAGCCCCGCTCCTGTGCCAGGTAAGTCCACTACTGGATCACCATAGCCCGTGCTACTTGCCCCGCTCCTGTGCCAGGTAAGTCCACAACTGGATCACCATAGCCCGTGCTACTTGCCCCGCTCCTGTGCCAGGTAAGCTACGGGTTCACTATAGCCTGTGCTACTTGGAACTTGTTCCGAGTAGCTGAATCTATAGCAACAACATCTGCTTCGCGATTAGCCACTCACGGGTACGCCGGAGCGCATCCGATCCCAGGATCGTCGTCGTCCCTAAATCAACACTAACACCCTGCCCTGCTATCTTCCACCACCCACCCGTCACAATATACATGTACACTATTGTCTCTTGGTAATTACCTAGGTGTAGTTACAGGAGGAGAGCTACGCTCGTGGTGTCCCGTGTTCCCAACACTGTCATATCCAAGCAAGGAGATCTCATCTTCAGAAAGATATAGCTGCTCAGGAGAAAGTGTAACATCGGGCAACAAATATAATTCCAGAATTAAGTCAACTTTCGTATCAGGGACGGTTGAGGGCCACAGGGCTAACAACACTGCAAACTAAGCATTACAGGGCGGATCTGATTCAATCTATTAAAATACTAAACAATTTGGAGACTGTTGATCCGGACAATTTATACAAAAGGTCAGATGTAACACAAACTAGGAACTCAACAGAGAGAGACGGAGATTTTCAAGCTCAACAAGCCACGGCGTAGGACTGAGAACAGATATCTTTTCACCCACTGGGCTATAAACCCATGGAACTGCCTACTATCCGAAGCCATAAATGCCCAAACTGTTAAATGTTAAAATCTAGCTGTAAAAGATCATCAGGGAAAATGAGGAGACCTTTGATAAGCATAAGGTCAATCATAATATCATGTCATAAGGTCAATCATATCATAAGGTTCTGATATGATTGACCTTTCTTCCATCGTCTGTGGACAGGATAATTGAACTCCAGCTTAGTAATTATATATCATCCACACAAGCTGAACTGCAGGCCATTCTGGCGTGTTTGGAGGAAGTACGCCATGACGACAAAAATGTTTTTGTATTTGTCGATAGCCGAGGAGCACTAGAGTCCTTAAACAGTCGAAACCCAGTCTTCATGTCTATAGTTGAGGATTGTAAGAGAAGAATAACTGAGATACAGCTGAAAGGTTATAGTGTGAAATTCATGTGGATTCCATATCATGTTGGAATAGTGCTCAACGAGGTGGCGGATGACTTGGCCAAACGTGCCACATCAAAACCACAAGTTGACATTGAATGTGAATTCACAATGAGACAAATAAGAAGCAAAATCAGAAATATTCAGGCACAGGCGGGAGTGGAGAGGAGAGAGATAATGTATGAGAGTAGTCAAACCATGCAACACTACATGTATGTGAGTCAAAACACCCATTTCACTTATGGTAAAAGGAGAAATGCTTGGAGTGACTCTGTGTACATGCGGCTCAAGCTTGGGTACAAATATTACTGGGAATATGGGATAGATGTTCATGATAATGACACGAAGTGTAAACTATGTGGTATGTTAAGGTCTCACACCCTGGCCCATTATGTTCTTGATTGTCCGTTGATTAATGTATATAGAAACACTGAGATAAGGACTGTTCCTGAACAAATAGCCTGGATGTGTCACAACGGAAAGGTTGATGATATTCTTGAGAGATATAAGAATTTTGCACCAAGATTGTAATATTTTGTTGAATTATCTGCAGGTGTCTTGCAAATTGTCTATACAGTATACCTAGGTCATAAAAGTATTTGTGTGTACGTCTGATAACATACTACTTGTGAAGGAGGAAATGTATATGTTTACCTCTCAGAATGTTTGGCAATATATTTATTTGTGATGTGTGTCTATGTATATATTAACACGTTGTACTGAATGGGGTGAGAATAGCTTGAGCTACCTCATCCCTTTGTGTGTATTTTACCTCAATAAACTTATTTCAATTTCAATTTCAATTTCAATT